TGGTTTAAACCTTTTCCAGTGATAATCTCCCCACTCTCTAACTTTTCTAACAACACATTATGATGCTTTGCAAGCAACGCATCCTTTCTCATACATGATGCACCGATAGTGTTGACTATTAGAGGAACATAGTTAAAGAAATCTGCAATGGTTGGAGTACAAGTAGCAACAGTAACAACCACTAATTGCAATTGATGAGCAAAACAATGCACATAGAATGCATACGGATTTTCATCTCGAATCAATTTTTGCACACCATTAAATTCACCTCTCATATTGGAAGCTCCATCATAACCTTGCCCACGAAGCCTAGAGATTGGTAGCTTATGACTGTTAAGAATTTTCACTAGAGCTTCTTTCAATGCAGCAGCTGTACAACTACCAATATGCTGAAGTCCAAGGAGCCTCTCCATCACCTTCCCTTCATCATTCACAAACCTGCAAACCATATTTTATTTCATGTTAGTACAAGTGTACAAATCAAAGTCGAGGAAAAAATAGAGTTGTCATCTACTAACCTCAAAATTACAGCCATCTGTTCTTTTATTGATACATCTCGGGACTCATCAATCAATAGAGAATTTTTATCTCCAATCTCATCCATAATCACTGACATGACTTCCTGTGCACAAGCTTTTGTAAGGTCCTTTTGTATATGATGTGAAATCATTGTGCAATTTTTTGCGCCTTTATCATATGCATCCTTAACAATCTCAACTTTATCTTTGTACCAATCAACCATCTCTCTATAGAAACCCTTGTTGTACGAAGTAGAGGACTCATCATGTCCACGAAAAGCTTCACCTTGCATTATGAGAAATCTTGCTACATCTAAAGAAGAGTTCAAGCGAATCCCATATCTTTTCTCTTCCTCCTTGCTAATTACATCAATTCTTCTAGCCACATTTGTTCTTTGGTTCATAAAGTCATCACACTTTAGCATAGCATTAGTGTGAGTCTTGCAAGTGCTGTGCTGATTAAGATTGTCCTTAGCTTTTTTCCAGTTATTATAACCATCCTTTGCAAAGACAGAACTACCAAATTTTTTAGGCTTCCCGGGATCAAAGAACAGATAACAATATAAGCAATAAGCTGCATCCTTGGTCACACTATACTCTAGCCAATCAAACTCGTCAAACCAAGATTGCTGAAATGATCTCCATTGACCACTTTGCCATTTTTTTGCAAAAGTAAGATTACGAGGTTGGGTCGGACCTCTCAAAGCATATGCCCTTCTAACTTGGTCTCTAATTTCATGTGGATAGCTTTCAATTGGTATGCGATTTCCTGGATCAGCAACTACATCAGACTGACTAAACTCCACTCTACGCCGAATTGGTTGATTTGTGCTGTCATTAGTGCCTGGAGTTGATGTACTACTTGAACCAGAAAAATACGTGTGTAATGTTCTTTTGGACATTTTGAACAATCTGCAATTAATTAAAACTTGTAATGAAATTTGAAACACTTAGAAAGTTCAAGCTCAAAAGGCAAAAAATTGGAACACGCTGTGTATATACCTGCCTGTCTGCTGCCTGGCCGGAGCCGCTGAAGCCTGAAGGCCTGCCGCGTCACCCCTCGCCTGCGTCGCCCTGCCTCCGTTCGCCGCCCCCGCAGGGATCCCGGATTCTCGGTGCCTCCGTCCGGCTCGCCGTGCGCCGCTGGCCCTAGCCGCGCGCGGCGCGCCCACACGGCCACACCCCACGCCGTCGCGCTCGCGCCTCCAGGCACCAGCCCTGGCCGCGCCGCCGCGTCCTGGCCGCCACGCGCCGCCGGCCGCCGCGCCGCTAGCCCTAGCTGGCGCCGCCGCCGCTCAGCCTCGCGTCCGTCTCTGCTGCTCGCGTGCGTCTGGCTGACTGGCTCACTGGCTGTCTCCCCTGCAGGCCTGCTCCCTCCCAATCGGCTAAAGGAAAAAGGCCCAGAAACGAGACAACAAGGCCTTCCTTCTTGATGGGCTGCCATTGCCAATACACCTTCTACACAGTTATTGGGCATTTAGGCTGGCCACTCAAATACACGCAAAAAGGCCCAGGAAGGAGGCCAGCGCCGGACTCTTCTTCTACCTCCGTCAAGAACACCTCCAGGCTCTAGCCCCTCCTTCCCCATGGATAATGGCTCAGATTTTCATGGGGGGGCTGAGGGGGGGCTCCAATGGCGCGGCGAGGGTAGGGGGGGCTAGAGCCCCGGCAGCCCCCCCTGTAGATCCGCCCCTGCACATGATCGACGAGTGCTGGCCGGTCTGAGTGTATAGATAGTCACTACGGGAGTTTATCCGAGCCGCGACGTTTCACCGATAAAAGGTATAGCAGTTTGGTGCCTCGGCCCTCGGACCGAATCGTGTTAATTTAGAGAACAATGCTAGTGTTGTGTACTTTTTGAGAAAAAAAAGAACGCACTCCTAGTTTCACAAGGAATCTAAAATTTGGGTTATGTTTATATAAAAAAATATCAATATTTATGAACCGGATCCCATAATATGAAACGGAAATGCTCGCAACATGGGCACAAGGCTTCCTATCGTCCGAACGTCGCTTCCCAGACGTAGAAATGACCGCGCTGTCCGCTCGCTCCTGCCTGCGCCACACGACCCTGCCACCATCTGCTCACTCCATCCTCCGCGCCACGCAGCTCCCCCATCCCGCGTCGCGTCCCCCGCCATGCCGCGCCCCATCTCCCGCGCGGGCCCCACTCCGCCTCGCGGCCTTCTCCACCGGAACGGTGCGCTCCGTGCCATCGGCGAGCTCTACACTGGTGAACTCCACACACCAACGAGTCTCCATTCTCAAGCAGCAAGGAGATATTGCGCTGAAAACGCATGTTGCAAACATATATTTTAGGTGTTTCAGATGTTTTAGAGGTATGTTGCAATTGTTTCATATTGGTGTTGCGAAAGTAGATCGGGATGTTGCACATGTTGCAATGGCTATACATGTATGTTCCAAATGTTTCATATATGTTGTGAGTGTTTTCATCTGAATGTTGCAAAAGTAGATCTGGATGTTGCATATATATGCACGTTGCAAGCGTATGTTTCAAGTGTTTTAGGTGTTTCATACGCATGTTGCAAGTGTTTCATCTAGATGTTGCATATGTTTGCAATGGTTTTCACGTGTTTTTGCATGTTTCGGACGCATGTTTCAAGTGTTTCATCTGTCTTCTTTTGTATGTTGCAACTGGATGTTTTAAAAGTAGATCGGGATGTTTCACTTGTTGCAATGGCTATACATGTATGTTTCATGTGTATGTTCCAGATGTTTCATCTATCAGACGTATGTTGCAAGTGTTTTCATCTCGATGTTGTAAAAGTAGATCTAGATATTGCATATACATGCATGTTGCAAGCCTATATTTCAAGTGTTTCATACGTCTACTGCAAGTGTTTCATCTAGATGTTGCATATGTTTGCAATGGTTTTCATGTGTTTTTGCAAGTGTTTCGGATGCATATTTCAAGTGTTTCATCTATCTTCTTTTGTATGTTGCAACTGTTGCATGTGGATGTTTCAAAAGTAGATCGGGTGTTACACGTGGGAAGCGGCTAGCGGCGCGGCCCGCTACACAGGGGCGCTCGCTCACAAGCCCGACATCGCTGGGGTGCTCGCTCGCTCGTTGAACGGGTACCGTCTGATGCTAGCGCCTTGGATCGAACGTCCGGGCAGTGGCAAGTCCAAATATAAAAATATATTTTATGGTGAATTTAATATATTTATTTTGTATCATGAAAATATTAATGTTTAGCTTTTTATATAAGATTTGTTAAACTTAAAGATGGTTTAGATTAGGATAAAATCAGAAATGCATTTTTTTTGAAAGCGGTGCAAGAGTACTATTTATATACTATTTAAGGCTTGTTTGAACCCCTTTAGATCGTACGAATTTTGATAAAATAATCTCTAGATGGTCCAAACACTCGATATATGTATTATTATACTATTAATAGTTCATCTTAAACAGTTTACTGGAATCCTATAGTCCATCTTAAACCTGTTAATAGCATATTATAAGTGCTCAATAGAGACCAAATCATGTAATGCAACGCCTATAGTCTAGGGATACAAACAACCTAAATTATTATAATCCATAATCCAAATTATTATGATCACATTCACAATCCAGATTCCAATAACGCAAGATGATCTACAAGAACCTTTAAAAAAGTTAGGTTTCTCATGTTGGACTTTTCCACACCAAACCGTTGGGGATTTGTTCGAATTCGTTTGAAATACATGATATATTCATATGTGAGTTTGTTGAAGTCAGGAAAGTGATTACTACATGGCAATGAACTATTTCGGCTTTATATTGCTACTGCTATGATCATTCGCAAAGAGTACTTCCTACGGATCGATATATAGCGCGTAGCACAAGACCCTGTTCTTTTTCTAAAAAAAAAAATCTTTAACCCTTAATATCTAAGTTCGTTTATAGATCGACAACAAAAATCGGCATTATTAGGTTTACTGTGAGAGCTATTTTTATGACATGCAGTCCTTTTTTTTATTTCAGATAGTATGTTTAGTATTGCTAGCAAAGCTAAAATAATTCGACCTACATTTGTGAAAAAAGAGGAAGTATGTAGCAACACTGAGCAGAAAAAATCAGCAGTAGAGTACACAATTGCAGTCTGACGCCGCAATTTCTCGCCTGATGTCCAACTCAAACACTACGAGTACTACTGTATTTGTTACTTAGCCTTCAACCCAAAGGATTATGAATTCCACAAACGCCAACAAAGCTCTCTTTGCAAGCTTCAGCTCTCCTTTTTTAAGTTACGGGGCACTTGTCATGCACGTCCACATCCCTCCTCTGAAAACCCATTCTCCGATCTCCACACACATGGGCGACCCAGCTCCACCATTTATATCCACCACTCCTCCTCATCGATCGGATCACGAGCGCGCCCCTCGATCGGATGAACGCCGGAGAAAAAAACAGCTCGATCCGTAGCTGCACACATCGGTGATCGTTCCATGTGTGATTGATTGATCAGGGAGCAGCATAATGCCTTGCTTGGCGAAAGAGTTCCACCCCAAGCTGCCCGCGGCCAACCACTACTGCAAGTCCTTGTCGTCGCTCATCCGGGAGACCTACGCGCACTGCCATGTCCCCTGCGTCAGGATCCCCGCCGGCGCCGGGTGGAGCTCCGGCGAGGACAGCGACGACGACAGCGTCCTCGACGAAGCGCAAGACACCAAGCAGGTACGGATCGATTGATATATATGTTCTTGATCCGTTCACGGAAGGAATTAACTAAGCACGCACGTAAACGTGGCACCTGCATCGTCATGAGTTCATCACGTTGTTGTGCAGGTGATCCTCAACGAGATGAGGAACCGGCAGATGAAGAAGCGGTCCAGGTGCAGCGTGGACTCGCCGACGCTGCCTCTGTCGTCGAGCTCTGCTTTCGCCTGGTCGTACACTCCGCTCGATCCAAGAACCGTCCTCGACAAGGTGTCAAGTCCCAAGACGTGCGTCGTGGTGGAGGGAGCAGCGGCCGAGGAGAAGGAGGAGGAGGAGGAGGAGGCAGCCGACGATGAGGGCGACTGCGACGCGGACGACGAGAGCGAGGCGTTCTTCTCCGTGAAGAGCTTCTTCACGCGCAGCACGAGCCGGGCGGCGACCGTGGCGTCGTCGGCGTGCATGATGATGATAGACCCGCCCCCGCCGACGTTGATGCGGTCGCCTGAGGCCTGGGAGCGCTTCCAGGACTTGGAGGGGTGGCCGTTCGGGCTGTGCCGCCGGCCGGCCGGCCGTCCCCCGCTGCCGCCGCTGCCCAGCACGCCAGCCGACTCGTGGAAGTGGCGCAAGAGCGTCAGTAGCCTCGCCGCGAGCCCAACTCCTGCTTACAGACACAAAATCACTCCTGCTAGCAGTAAATAACCGCGCGCGCCGCCGTTAGCTAACAAAGAAGAAGCTCGAACCGTCCGTGTTAGCAGCAGCGACGCTGCTGAGACGTGACGTCGACGTTTGCAACATTTCGGCTAGTAGTAACCTGCGTGCTTGATGCTTGTTCGTCCGGACGGCCTCGTCTAGAATGCGAGAGTTTCATAAGAATTCTATAGGACACGAAACATCTGCTCCGACGAAATGCGAAGCTTCCCACAGAATTCCTATGAAGATGTTGCATGCTTGTTCGAGGCCTTGATCTTTTGGAAATTGGAAGGGATTTTCAGGTGTACGTGTTCTTGTTCTGGATAATATATAAACTCTGGTGTACTTTTCAGTTCCTGTGAGTCGGACGCTCTAGTTTTTTTGGCCTCTCTACTCAGAGTCAGAGAGCCCTCACTCGATCTTCATCGAAAGTTTCAATGGATCATAGATGATATTTCTTGTTCCAATTCACAGTTTTACTCCACGTTTTCCTTCCTAGGAAAGTTCATAAAGTTCTTTGTTCCATTTGGATGAGATGATTAGATGAAGACAACTTGAACGGCTGCACCGGCGCTCCGACATGTAAAAGCAGATGGAACAAAGTGCAGATGAGGAGCGCACGGTTGGGTAGCTTTACTCGACGACTTGCCAACTGAAATGACCAAAAGGAAAAGCGGTGGCAGCTGCAGCGTTGCCTGGATTGCCTGAGGGGCGAGCACTCCGCACATACTCCGTACTGTTGTCTGCAGTCCGCTGCAATGCAGCATTTGATGGGGACAAGGCCTAAGTCAATTCTGTGCAAATCGAGAGGTCAGGAAACCAAGTACCAGATCTATCGATCAAAAAAAGAAAAGAAAAAGAAGTACTAGTGCGCATAATGGTCAGGGCCTCAGGCCGCACAGGTTTTCCTATGCGGAGAAGTGCTGCAGTTCAGCCATCACTTTGGCGGAGGCGCTGAGCTGCCGAGTAAGGAAAGCTATTACCAACTTACCAAGTACTGGGTCGTGGCTTAACAAAAAGTGCTGATTTTAAATGCACAACAAATAAGTGTGTTCATCTAAAATGATTAAACAAAAGCCTACTTAGCCTCCTCAGGGCCTGCTTGGAAGCCCGATTTTAGATATAAAAGAATAGTGTCAAATATGTGAGGCCAGATCCAAAAAGTAACGGGCCTTTTACATATGAAAAACTAAATCACCTCTTTGGCCCACACTAAAAATGAGTCAAGCTCTTCTTCCTCCCTCGCTTTCTTGTGTTGTTCTCCCGTTAGGCTTGCCATGTTGCCTTGCTCAGTCTCCTTTTTACTCCCCATCTTCTTGCCAAATCTATATGTCACGCCTGGCCTCAAATCGCATCACTGATGCCATCATGACCTGGAGCCGTGCCGGCACCTTCCATCTGTTGTATGCCTAGATCCAATTCAAGACTGTGAAAGGCGATGAATCTGTGACGGTAGGCGTGGCTTGGCCACAACTCGGTATAGCGTGCGGAGAGATTTCTTCGCGAGAGGGCGAGTCCTATCAGCATCATGGTAAGGCATTTGTTCCATCCTCGACTGGAGGACATCACCTTTGCATCGACGCTTTAGGGCCACAGCCCACAGCCCACAGCCCACACCCCACAAACATCATGTCGGTGTAGTAGGGACAAAATGCATCGAACAAGCAAGCTTGCATAGCCGGCTCGCGAGCCCGAGTGGCCATGATTCCTTTATTTCTTCATTCAGTTTGTGAGCTCAAAATTTTGAGCATCGATTGCTACCTTGTGCACTTGCTCTCTCTTGCTGATAGGCTTTCGTGGTCTCTTTACTAAAAACATGGTGGTAATTTCAGTTGCTGGAATGTCATTTATAAAAATACAACTATTTCCAGATGTGTAACAATTATATGCATTCCAATGGTTTTCTTATGCACACCAAATTACAAGCGTAATGGATTTACATACAGGTGCACAAAAATTGAAACCTTAAAACATGGCCTTATCTTTTTTTTTTAAATCAGGGATTTTTTTCGGATTCGGTGAGAAGTCAACTACCTTAATGCGAATGCTCGGGAATGCATGCTATCCCCTGCAGTCTAAGTTTTTTTTTTTCTATTGACATTCACCTACTAAAGTAATGGAAATTGTCTAAATAGCTCTTGATGTGATTTTGAAAACGGTTTCGATGACATAGCATATTACGTAGATTGTGGCATGGCTATGAGTCTATAAACAATATGGAAAAGTATAGGTATAACTCCCTAATATTAGCTACATAATTAACCCCCTCAATTACAAACCCAATATTATATGGTATCTCTTAAAATATCTAATATCTTTTAGATGACCCTCTGTCACCGTATCTCACCATGTACCGATACTTGCAATTTGTATGTAGACCCATCTATAAATGGGTACATTCTTTTTTATTTTTACCCCCCTCTCTTCCTCATTGTTTCCCTTAACCTTCCTCTTCATTCTCTCTTCCTAGCTTGCCCAACCTCCTTAGCACTCCTCGACCTCGACGGTATCGAGCTCATGTATTACTCCTCACCCACTCCATCCCCTCTTGCATCCTTTCTTTCTCACAGTTCCTCCTCTTATGGCAACCTCATAAGCACGTTCACCTTTCCTCTTGGCCCACACCCAACTTAACAAGCCACTAGTGTGGATTGGCTCATGTACAAGGATGTGTAATCAAGCCAATACGGTAGGTCACGGTTGCAAAACAACTTTTTGAACATTATTAGATAATTTAAGGGCTGCAATAATCGGTTTGTTGTCTACCTATGTATGTATATATAATTTCTTTTTTGGTAAGGTTGCCATGTTGTCAAATGCAAAAGCAAACCGTTTTTATACTTAAAGTATATATAGTGGCAAATTTAGAAGAAGATAAAGGGACCAGTCACAATCATGTGAAGTTTTTTTAAAAGTCTAGATGATGGTTGTTCTCAGTGGCGGATCCCGCATAAAAGTTAGGGGGGCTCCTGCCATCGTCTTCAACCTCAAGCCCCTCCTAACCTTCTCTCATGGCTAAAATTTCAAGAGGGGATGAGGGGGGCTCCATGGGCGCGCCCGCGGTAGGGGGGGGGGGGGGGCTCAAGCCCCCCACCTCAGTGGCAGGTCCGCCCCTGGTTGTTCTCTAGTGTAGCAAATCATAAAATCTCCCCACAAAAATAATCCCTCTGTGTTTAACCCTTGCCTTCTCTCTGAAGTCGAATTCAGAAACTTAGCTTCTCCAAGTCACAACATAACTTAGCTAACCATATCTACCATCCAACATGGATCTAAGGGGCTGAGAATAGCTGCAAGTAATCCAAGCTCAGGGCTTAGTTTTTCACTAGTCACGCAGGAGCATTCTTGGCAAATGTGCACGTAGACAAGTGCATTTTCTCGTAGCGCACTACTTCGTACTCCCACGGTGCGTTGCGGGACCTCAGGCCGTCCTACACTTTGCCCTAGCCATCTCGTGACGCGCCGTCACCCTCTTGCACCTTGCTTCCCTTCTAAGGATTGGGAGGGGTTGAAGCTCACACGCCCTAAAGGAAAGGAGGTTTGTGGCAAGTAACTCGAGGGCCATGGAGGTGCTCTCTTGCATTGCGTTGTGTCGCGTTGCACTGTCCTGCCCTGCATAGGAGGAGATCAAACTCGCATTGTTATTGGGGTGCCGCCACGGAGGAGAGCTTGGTGGTAGTCTTATGATATCAGTAAACTTCTCTTATTTCAATGACCTTCACAAATAAAATTTGCCCAACAATGCAAAATAGAATGTAGACACTGTGCTTACAGTTTTAGACTCGGGGAATCAATTTGAGATTAAATTGCTCAACTTATTTATTGTCATCCACTTGTGAATTTTTTATGTAGTTAGTATTTTTATACATATTGTTACACATTGTTTAGGTTGCAAAACTAGTTAATATTTGGTTTGTTGTGCATATGTGAGTGTTGTGGAAAAGAATGGCGTAATTTGTCAAGGTGACACTAGAAGTTTGTTTTAAGTTTAAGAAATCCATACGAGGGTTGGTAGTACCCGGCCAACATATGGTGCCTGTATGAGCTTTAATGTGAGGAAAAGGTAGACTTAAGGTGTAACACCACAGAAGAAAAGACAACAAAAATCTTATGGAGAATTACCACTCTAGCACAATAAAAGACCATAACAACGGAGTACGCGAAAGCAACAATAATCATAAAGGTTAACGATAAAGGATCTTTACTATTCACCAGTCTATCATAACTCAACCAATCCAATCATGATCCAACATATAAGCATATGGGACAAACTAACTAAACCATGGTTAAAATTGTTATTATTATAACACATGTGTCCTAGAGATATGTATGACTCAAAGGTGATATGCACACGTGCTGCTACTCCTGTCCCAAGCATGCATCTTCCAAGCTCAAAAACCTGAGGGGAAAATAACACATGAAGTTTATGGAAAACCTCAACAAGTAAACTACCTTAACTGAGTTATTCAAATCACAGTTGATTAAACATCAAATTTAATTAACATAATAGTAGATACATCAATTGCTTCAAAGAAACATAAGTATATTAAAAGTGCGAATGCAAATGATGCAATGCAATGCAAATGCGAATGATGCAATGCAAATGTGCCCACACGTCCCAAGAAGAGGGAGCAAGCAATTATGATGGTAAGCTGACTTTTGTGCGGATATTTTGATCCATTGAGGGTCATCGAATGAAAGGACTAACAAACCATGTGTTAAAGTCCCTTTGAGTTTTGGTAATTAATAACAATAATTGTGAACTAATAATTTTATATGAGATAAAAGATATAGTGAGTTGTCTATGAGTAAGATCGACTTGTTATATGAGGGCATTGGGAAACATGGCATGAACCATGTGATGCAAAAGCTCAACAAAGAGAAGAGATGGAAACAAAGATGAGAAGGAACGACGATGATGTTGTGTGATAGCACGCGAGGCTATGTCCTCGAAGTGCATATCCCAACGGTGGAACCCACATATGCCAAATCTCCATTGGCCCTACTCTTCC